AGTACTCTGTTGCCCTGCCTTCAGGGATTGTCTGAGGAATGGACAAATGAGCCACACTGCACTAATCGTGATCTTTTTTTCTTTTCTTTTTTAAAAAAAGATATTTATTTATTTATTTATTTAAAAAGAGAGTGTGAAAGAGAGAGCGAGCGAGCAAGCAGGGGGAGGGAGGGTCCACACTGAGCTTGGAGCCCAATGTGGAGCTCAACTCACAACCCTGAGATCATGACCTGAGCCGAAATCAAAAGTCTGACGCTTAACCAACTGAGCCACCCAGGTGCCCCAACCCATGATTGTTTCTTGTCTCTAGTGGGCAATATGTATTTCTTTTCACTCAAGCTGATCTATATTGGGCTGTTCTTTTGAGAGAAAGATTCTGAACAAATACACAGCCAACTCTTTTCTAACAAACCTACAGCTTTGGAGATGGTCTGGGTGGACTTAGTTTTGACAACTGCTGAGGAGGGAACCCAAGGCTGCTCTTCATTTGATAGAATGAATTGTATGTTCTCATCAGGAGTTGCTCCTAGGGCTCAACAGGAATAAGAACTTCCAGTGTTTCAGAAAGATCTTATCTTGGCCATGCCACAAAAATAAGAGTGTCTCCCACAGGTGGAGTCTAGACAGCAATCGAGACAAGAAATCAGATGATCACAATATGGTGTGGCAACAACTATGATGGGAAGTAGAAGGTGACATGAAGCCCAAAGCAGGCTCACCTCACCTGGTCTCTGGGGCATTCATGCGAATGTTGAGGATGACCTTCTGGAGCAAAGGAGCTCCAACCTGTAATCTTGGGATGGATAGGAGTGTCCCAGGGGAATGTTTGTGTATATAAGTGAGGACAAGCTATTGGCACAGACCAGTGTTCTTGGTAGAGGGAACAGCACATTTGAAAGCCCGAATGTAAAAATGAGTTTGGCACCAAGGACTGACATGTCAGGACGCCAATTTATTAAATCAGGACAAGGTGCACAGGTAAGAACACATAGAACTTTTGAATACACCGAACTCACATTTGCTGCCCAGGGTAGCTGTTTCCTGGCTCAGAAGAGCTGGAAGACAGGTTTAGTATCCTAACACTTCATGGAGAGAAACTTTATTTCCCGCTATCCTTATGGACTGTTGAAACTGTGGCAAATAAGGACAGTGAGTGCAAAAGGCACAAGATGAAAAATCCTCTTCCTTTCTCCTCTTTTCTGGCCCAGTTAAGCCAAGGATCAACTTGACATACTCTTTGAGGGTTAGAAATAATGTGTGCAAAGCCCGGTCATGGCAGACTGTCCAGCAAAGTGGTGTTCCTCTTCTAGCTCCCTAAGCTCTCAGTTTCCTCTGGTCTCATTTCCTGCCCCAGGAATGACCTTCTGCTGGATGGCTGACAGCAGTCCTTCTTGGAGATACCCCACCTCTTTCTCCTGGGTGACTCTGTGGTCTGCAGTAGGTCAATGGCTAAGACATGTCAAATCTAGTGACTTTGTACCTTTCCCACAGTTAGGGTTCGTTAGTCCAGCAACACCCAATGTAGGGGGGCACGCACAGCTTTGTCTACATGGGCTACACTAAGCCCAGGCCAAGTCTGTCTTATTGTCTCTCCTGCAGCTTGTCGGGCATTAAAGCCCATCCTCTGACGCAATCTTTGGGGGACTGAGATGCTCTCTACCATGAATGTTTGCGGGAAAGGAGAAAATGCACGTGGGCGCACATGCGCACACAGTCATGAAGGTACATTGGATTCTCACACAGCCCAGGGGAGCTTTTACTAAATATATCTGCATGGGCCTCCCCCTCCATGGCAGATCTCACCAATCAGTATCTCTGCACCTGGGGCTTTGAAATGGCATATATGTTTAAAGTCCCTCTGGTGAGTCTGAGAAGCCCCCAGTCCAAGAGCAACTTCATGGAGGGGGCTGTGCAGTGGGGCTCCCACCAGGCAAAGGCAGCTTCTGGAGCCCATTATTACACAGATCTTCCCTAAACATCTTTGTTTCCAAGTGGTGTAGGCTTCACATCTGCATAACCAAAAGCCTGTTCAAGAGATTTCCCCAGAACAGAGGCGTCGTCTCTGCTCAAAGATGAACTGTAGTTTTGACTTCTACTGAAACTTGAATTTGCAGGAAGCTCTATGACGAGGTCTCTCTCACACACTCACACACACACACACACACACACACACACACTCTCTCTCTCTCTCTCTCCCACACTCTTACAAGGCACACTTTATTACATATGTATGTGTAGCTTGTCGCCCTTACAAGTTTATAAGCTGTAATCTTTAGGGCAGTTGACTTGGATCGCCTTTTGTAAAATGGATTTGCACTGGAGGGAGTTTTCAGTATTTCATTTCAACAATGAGGAAAGTAGGGCTGCAGCTCGTCAGTTTAACAAATAAGTCTGTCTTGAGGCCAGTGGTATTAGAAATCTGCACCATCGTTTCAGAAAAATGGAGTGCTCAGTCTGCCCAGCTCTCTGCTCAGCGCTGCTTTCTTTCTTCTAGTCTCACTCTCTTAATTTAAAAAAAGAAAGAAAAAAAAAGGTCTGCAGCCGTTTCTCTGCAAGGGGAAAGGTAAAAGTGAAGCTGCTTCTCCGTTTCCTTGACACAATCCTCACGCAACACTGTACCTCATGCAAAGCTAGGAGACCGTGGCATGCAAGCCCTTAAAGTTTAAAATGAATCTCCACTTTTGTCCTGGGTATTGGGGGCCTGCGAGTTTAACCATTCCACACCCCAACTCATCTGTGTTTCTTAGCCCCTGCTCTCTCGATGGTCTGCTGAGAAATCCTGGTCCTAGAATGTCTGAACTTCAAAATCGCAGACCTCACTCAGGGCCTCCAGCGGATCATGTGGCTTGGCCTGGAGCTGATGAAGCATCGTGAACTTGCACTTGACAGATCAAGTAATGGGGAGCTAGAGAAGCTTGGAACTGGCTCAAGATCACAGAGCGGAGGAGGGACTGGTACCCAGGATGTCTGGCTTCTAATATGGTGCCCTTTGCCTTAGACTGCAGTGGTCTACATCCTTCCTGGGCATACGAGTCAGCTGCGCAACCCGTGCCTGGCTGGGGACCCACAGAGCACCCCTCCCCCGCCGGAGCCTATTCACATCTCAGTTTGTTTTCAAACCAAATCCCCCACCTTCTCCTTCCTTCTAGTCCCCTCTCACAGACAAATCCCCATGTAAAGATTCTGGAGTCCGAATAGTACTATCCACCATTCCTGTTTAGCATTGGTTAAAATGCAGGTTCCCAGGCCTCTTATCCAGAGCGTGGGGTTGCATGGATGTTTCGGGAAGCCCATGGGCTTGCAGTTTGACATGCTCCCCCAGACGGTTCTGCTGTCCGTGGACCACACTTTGTGAAGCTGCCCCATATGAAATGAGGTCTTCTAGAGCCCTCCGTGTCTTGCTCTGTGAAGTTCTTCTCTTTGTAAAATGCACAGTGCAGGAGCTGGAGGAAGGTTTTCAGGAACATTCTCTGAAGGGTTTCTGCAGCAGCTCCCCCTCCAGCAGGGAGTAGACACCTGCACTTAGCTGATAGCTGGGGGGCTGGTGAGGAGTGGGGGGAGCCGGGAAGTTCGTGGAAGGGTGTCCGGTGAAACCTGAGGGAGAGAGCTTTAATTCCCGAGCACTGAAGGCTTGGAGTGGAAAATGGGAGTGGAAATGAGGTATGGGGAAGGGAAGGGTGGGTGGAAATTTCTCCTTGGAGTTTGGCTTTGATCTTCAGGAAAGCTGGCATCTCCATCAATGAAATCCCTAAGTCAGATTTTCCACGTGTTCTTCTTCACTTTGTTTATTTTCAACTTTTTTTTGATAAGGGCCTTATTAATATGTACCTCACACTCATCTCGATTGAGATACAATTTACGCATTTCAAGTGTACAATGCGGTGGTTTTTAGTGGGTTTTTAGTATCTTCACAGTGGTGTGCCATCGTCACCACAAATGATTTTAGAACATTTTATCACCTCAGAAAGTAACCCCATACCCTTTACAGCTCGCCCTCCCCCCATTCAGTCTCCACACCCCCCTCGCCCCTCCCCCGGCCCCAACCACTAATCTACTTTCTGTATGGATTTGCCTGTTCTGGGGATTGCAAATGAATGGAATCATATGATGCGTGGGCTTTGGTGACAGGCTTCATTTAGTTAGCATAAACTTTTCAGGGTTCTTCATGTTGTAGCAAGTACAGTACTTCATTCCTTTTTATTGCCCAAAATATTCCATTGCACGGATTACCGCATTTTGTTTATCCGTTCGCCCACAGTTGGTTTGTTTCTACTTTCTGGCGCCCGCGAATCATGCTATTGGTGTATAAGCTTTTGTATTCATTTCTCTTGGGTGTGTCCCCACGACTGGAAATCCTGGGTCTGGTGATAACTCTGTGTTTAACTTTCGGAGGAATTGCCAGACTGTTTTTCCAAAGTCCTCACTTCTATGTCTTTTAAGCCAACCTGAAACCAATGACTGAATCGTCCCCTAAGATTCCATTTATATACAGCCCAGCTTGACCC